AGGGGTTAAAGTATGAAATTGCCGTTTTATTGCAATAGGTTCTTTGAATTTTCATAGAATCTTCATGGTTTGAGGTTTTCGAATGAAACTTTTTTCAAATGGTTTCTGTGATTTTTTTTTAAATTTGAAACATTTGAATATCGACTTTCAATTGTTTTTGTTATTCAATTTAGACAAGAAAGATGGATACTGCGAAAATTCGAGTGCTTTTTGAATACGAGTTCCGACGCGGAACTAACGCGGCAGAAACAGCCCGCAATATCAATGCTGCGTTTGGAGAGGGGTCTACTAATGAACTCACCGTGCGATTTTGGTTTAAACGCTTTCGTGATGGAAATTTCGACTTAAAGAACGAGTCACGAGGAAGACCGCCCACACAGGTGAATAACGATGAATTAAGAGAGATCGTGGAAGCCGATCCTAGTCAAACTACCCAGCAATTAGCGGCATGGTTTAACGTTACCTTACCCACAACATTGACTCACTTGCGTTTAATCAATAAAATAAAAAAATACGAAAAATGGGTGCCTCATGATTTGACTGATCTGCAGAAAGAAACGCGTGTTGAAACTTGTGTTGCCTTGTTGAACCGGTACAGAAATGAAGGAATATTGGATCGAATTGTAACATGTGATGAAAAGTGGATTCTTTATGATAACCGGAAAAGAAAAATGCAATGGCTGACCCCAGGTCAAATGCCACAACAGTGTCCTAAAGCAAAACTTACCAATAAAAAGGTAATGGTAACTATTTGGTGGTCTCAGCATGGTGTTATTCACTATAGTTTTCTCCGATCTGGTCAAGCAATAACGGCAGATGTCTATTGTGCCGAACTCCGAACCATGTTGACAAAACTAGCAGTAAAACAGCCCCGACTCATGAATCGATCTTCACCATTATTGCTCCACGACAACGCGAGACCTCACACAGCACGAGAAACCAATTTGACCCTTCAGGAACTGCAGTTAGAAACCATTCGTCATCCTCCGTATTCACCAGACCTTGCTCCAACGGACTACCATTTTTTTCGTGATTTGGACAATTATCTACGTGACAAGAAGTTTTCTTCCCAGGAGGCAGTACAAAATGCTTTCACACAGTTTGTGCAGTCTAGATCGTCGGAGTTCTATCGCAAAGGCATTACTAACCTTCCCATTAGATGGCAGCAATGTATAGATAATAATGGCAACTATTTTGATTAAATAAATTTGTTAAAAATTTAAAAAATAAACAATTTAGATTTTCAGTACAAATCGGCAATTTCATACTTTAACCCCTATTATTTTAAAAAAAGTAGACACTGCTAATACAAAAATGTTAATACGGTCTTAAAGAATTTATTCAAGATGATTTAAAAGTGTAATTCTAGAATAAATACGAACTCCTCTTCAGTTTTCTCTCTTCAGTGATCTGTTCAAATATTAACCTATAACCTTGAACATGCATTAAAGTATTGAAATTAAAATTCTTTTTACTCACTACAATAAAAAAAAGGTAAAAAGGTAATAAAAACTTTATGCAAATAAAAATATGGAAACAACCAAAATGAAATTTTATAAGTACCGAAAAATGTTACTGACGTAATGCTACTCTACTAACTTAATTTACATTTTACCGAAAACTATGGTTAGGCATTTTAATTAAAAATCACCTATTGTACAACAATGGCAAAACCATAGTCAAAAGAATTCGTTAGCGTCTTCAAATGTCTTAATTAAAAGTTGGAATAAAATAAATTCAGTAGGTTTTTCAAATTATAATAGCGGCATATCTAAGTCTGGAAATAAAATCATATTTAAAAGAAACTCTAATGACTAATTCGTATGTAACTGGACTGATATCCACAACTATCTTAGGGTCGTATTCCAGAACTCTACTCAATGCTCAAGTCAGGATTTGAGCAGACTTGAGTATGATTTCAAGCACTGGAAATACGACCCTAATGGCAAGGACTTGAGTATGATTTCTAGTGCTTTGAATCATACTCAAGTCCTGACTTGAGCATTGAGTAGAGTTCTAGATTACGACACTCAAATCTTTTGAGCGGACATGAGTATGATTTCAAGCACTGGAAATACGACCCTAATGGCAAGGACTTGAGTATGATTTTTAGTGCTTACTGCAATACTCAAGTCCTGACTTGAGTATTGAGTAGAGTTCTGGAATATGACCCTAAGTTTCTTAACGTTGAGCGAAATTTGAGAAAAAAGTATTTGGATTTCACAGTTTCAAAATAAAAAAAGTACACTTGCGGTCGGTAAGAGGGTAAAACGAGTTTTTTGGCGAAGAAACCACAGCAATTTAGGAAGGGGTAGGGCAGCTGCAATTTCGGGAAAACGCACTTTCGGACGGAAAGCGGAAACCAGCTGCACAACGAACCGTGGTAATGCATGGAGCCAAAATTGCATTTTTAGGGCTGCGCCAATTTGGCTCTTCCTGTTTGCGTGGGAATTAAAACTGTTAACAGTTGTGTCGCAAATACTGCCCCAGTTGATTTTGAAGCTTTTTCATTGTGAAAGCCTTGTATTTTCAGTTTCTCTCGGATGTGTTTTCAAGATAAAACATTAGATAGTTCTTATTAGAAGTACAATACCAGGGTATCGAAATTTTTTTATCAAGACATTATTAATTTTTTATTTTATTTTCATAATTATTTCTTTATTCATATTGTGAGCTAATTAGTAATTACAGCCGAACACATCATTGTCATAATCACTTAAAAATAACATAGTTAAAATCATAAAATATTTAAATTATTCTATAAAACATACATTTAATTCCTATTGTTTACATCAGATTAAAAATTTTAAATAAAAAGTATTAAAAAAAAACAAAATTGATATGTCCAAAAAAAACAAAATTTAATAAGCTATAATTACCTACCAATATTTGATGAGTGGGCCGCGACAACTTTGTCCGTAAGACAGGAATTATCCGATAATTATCCACGCTGATTCATAGTTTCGTCTGTTTAATATGTATAATTATTGACTAAAAACGACAAATAGTGAGAAAACTAAATAAACACGAAGAAAAACCTTTGAGAAAACGATTTGGTTTGTGACTTTTTGGAGATTGTCCTTTGACACGTTTGGGTACGTCTTTGGTACAAACATGCCGCACGACATTACAAGCGGTAGCACTTTGTTGTTTTAATTAATTTTATAAACATCATGATAATTATTATGCCCTCTATTCTTTTTTTACTTTGGTCTGCAATTCTTTATTAATGCGATAAACTGAAAATAATGTCAAGGAAATTAAAGTTCCGGATTGACTAATATTGGACGGAAGATTTTCTAGCAAAATAAACCAAGGCTAGGTATTGTCAAACTATTCTGGAAGTAGGAAGTGAACGGCAGAATTTTTTAATAGATAAATATACGTGGTTAACGTGACATGACTTATCGAAAAGTAGGTTCACAAACACAAGATTTTAGTTCCTGCTTATTGAAATTAAAATATTTTCATTTTCATTATGGTTTCAAATATTTGTCTAATGAAATTGTTATAGCTGTTAATGTTAAAACGGAGATTATTTTACTTATTCATCAGAAATTTTAAATTAATTGAGATTATTACTTTAAAATCTAGTGTAGAAATATAAACAAAACCTACACCTGCAGTAAGATTAAAGAAACATTTGAATGTTGAATGAAATTTAATAAGAGACTAAAAATAAACGCAACAAGCTTAATACTAGTCGTACAATGCATTTTTAATACCAGTAAATATGGGGCTGAAAGGTGATTCAGCCGGGTGTACAAAATAACTACATGAATACGATTTAAATACAAAGGACATCCGTATATCTCTTCGTAAACAACAAAGTTTTACTTTGTTAAAAGTTACGTGTATGTATGGTAAATAATAGTTGATTTTGTAGTGTTTTATTTTTACCTACCTTGTACGGACACGTACTTATTCCAATCGTAATTCTGTCCAGTGTAAAAAACAAAAACCAAGGAATTATTCTAAAGTTATTATATTATTTAATGAAAAAGTGAACGTATGCAGAAAGTTTGATGACAGATAGGATACAGCTGAATTGAGATGGTCAACCACCGATCCGATCTGGTGAAGAAGGATCGATGCGGAATATATAGAAGAGAACTAAACTCAACATGCTGAGTGGCTAAAGTATCGAAGTAACCGCTATAAAATCATAATTTTAGAATAATTACTTTAAAAACTATTTAATACTAAGCCACCTTAGTAAATAACCATCTACTTGGTATTTAATGTGTTTATAAAATAAGAAAATTTTGTTAAAAAAAATTGATATCAAAGTGTCATAAAAGTATTATAAGTACGTCATAATGTCATTGGCATTTATTTTCGTACCTATATTTTTTGCTTACCCGTGGGTGTCAACATGCATTTAAGAGGATTATCAACAATACAAGGTTAAAATGCCGGCCGGCCGGTTTCCCAAACCAGCTCCACTCCACACAAATAAATAAACCAGTCCCGGCCAATAATGTGGATTGTCGGGCTATTCGGCCCGATAATAAACAACTGACAAGAAACGTTCGATACCACTGGCTGTATTATACGTTTCTGCCTTTGCTTTTAAATTGATTTTAAACAGGCAGCGTGGTGAACACGTAGATACATACCTACTTGATTTCTGTGTACACTTTAGAACTGGAATTTACAATTGATCTAGTAGTACACAGTAGTATTTATACCTACCTCTAGAAGTCGTGGTCGTAGTAGGCACAGTTCAGTGTTTCGTTGCCATTTAACTGTTAATACATACATACAGTATACAGTATAGCATGTAGAGACTTGTCAGTGTCAGATGCTTAAAATCGTGTAATAAAATAGTATTGCACAATACTTATTTGATATGTTCGACTTAATCATTTTATATTTAAAACGGATTCCAATAAAAATTAATTTTGCTCACCTGATCCTGTCAGATACTATTTCAGGTTTGGAGTTCCTCTTAATAGGTGTGACAACAGGAACATGTGTCGGACTGGCAGAAGGCTCTGAGGGCGCGGAAGGTGGAGAGCACGAGCCTGAGCTAGAAAGGCTAAAAGCTCTGGAACGGCCGTCCACCGCCGGAGTGCGGCTCGTCCTAGCTCGTCGGCGACGCTTTTTGTCTTCTTCAGCTCTCACAGCCGCGCCCGGCGGCACCCAATCCAAATCCTTCTTCAAATGCCCTCGGCCGCACCGGCAGCCGCAAGCCTTGAACGCCAAGTCATAGCCCTTCTTTGTCCATAAATTCTGATGTCTCTGCCTCTCAGACCACGAACGTGCTCGGCCGCAGGACTTCAGGTAAGCGAGGACGCCAACTTCCCATTGCTCGAAACATTCACGATGCATGTACCGGCCGGCGGCGCACGTGTCGTTGTTGCATATCACGCGGACTGCATCTTCAATGCGCACCGACTCCCGGGGGCGGAGACATTCGCCGGGTACGCAGCACCCTCTGGTCTCCTCCTGTTCCCGTTCGCCGGTCGTGCCTTGCCGACGCGGAGCCATGCCGATCGACTAACGAAATCGAACGTGCGCGAGTAGGGAGCGCGTCACGCAAGAGACATGCTTGCCGGGGCGCGCGCGGCCGACTAATAACCGCGAGTGAACGAAAGCGAAATTTCAAGAGCGCAGCGCGTCGCCGCACTCCGCGCCGCACCGCTCTCCTCCCGCCTGCACCCGCGCGGGGCTGACCTTGCTTGCTGTGGCGGCGGCAGCGGCAGCAGTCGGCGGCGGGCGCGGGGGCGGGGGTGCAGCGAGGGGTGGGGCTGCCGATGCGACCGTCGTCGTCGCGGGTGGGGAGAAAGTGCCCGCAGAATTTTCACTTTCTGGCGAAAGCGGGAGCGGGAGCGGGAGCGATTGCAGAACAGAAAAGAAGACAATGTTAATATTATGGAAATTTTCCGAACGATATAAATGATGCATACTTGTCCCTGCCAAGGCCTTCGCTTACATGGTAGCAATCGTAACAATCTTAGTTGTAGGTGTAACGGACTTGATGTTTGGATGCAAAATGATTAAAAATACAATTCTTATAAAAATAATGCTACAATTTTATTGCAGGCGTTAAACATAACAATGCGACGATATGTATCACTCACTACCTGTCACATCAAATCAAACTACATAATTAATAAACAAACCACCTACAGGTAAGTACGTACAATATTATGCATCTGCTCGATTTTGTTACAGGAGGGAGAGCTAAAAATAAATAATGTAGTAATAATAATTATAACTTCTGAAGTTTTTAACACGTTCTTATTTAATTTCAGGTGCCGTTTGGTAAATAAACGTTTCTATTATAAGTACTTCATTCAAAAGACAAATTTCAACATATCGTCTTCTTCGCATCAACTGACTTTATTACAATCTTGACATAATACCTACAGGTGTTTTAATTGTGTAATAATAATACTTAATTACATTTAAAAAACGTATTGTGCAGTGTAAGTATTTTTTTGTTTTTTTTGTATCAAGTGACGGGACGAACAAGTTGTGAGCCTGATGGTGAGCTATAATATGCCTGTCCATAACGATTGCAGTGCCACTCAGAGCTTTAAATCGCTAAGATTTGAGAGGCACTACCACTGCGCCCGTCATAAGTTGACAAGTCTCATGTGCCTGTAATTTCACCAGCACCCTTAACTTACAAAACCGGAACACAGTAACCCTGACATTACTGCTTGGCGGCTGTAATGAGTAAGGTGGCAGTACTTCCCCTGGACGAACACCTCAAGGAGCTGTACTGCTCCTAACTTCCCTGTACGAAATCTTTCACAACGAGCACTACTCATGGTCTAACTATACCAACCTATAATAATAACGCACACGTTCAACTTAGCCCCGCATTAGGGAGACCCTGTGTCCCTGGTACCATGGCCACACACATAAGACAACCACAAATTACAACCAAACTCACGAGAGAAATAAATTTAGGCCATGCAAATATTTCTCCCGGCCCGGGAATCGAACCTGGGACCTCGGCGTGGCGGTCCAGCATAATTACCGTTCGGCCACAGAGGCAGTTATATACCTACCTATGTTCTTTATATAAATGTGTTTCAGGTTTAAGATGGCACGCCATAAGTCTGTTTTCATACAAAAACCGGACCGGACTCTGTGGATACGTGGACACTAAAACAGGAGTTACCGGGTTGACTTCCGGTAGGACTTATTTGAGAAACTAACTTTTCGAAATTAATATTGGTTTGGGTGCTCTAGGTAAAATGCCTCGGAGTTAATTTATTTGCTCTGGCACTCATAGTGCAAACGAGTTTCCTAGTTAAAGACCGTTTGGTGTGTTTCTTTGGCCCATTATTATTATCCATATTATCCTAATCGGAGTTTTCTTAAATATTGTTTTTGAGCTTATCATTATTTATTTACAGTATATTTAGTAACAATGTTGCAGAGTCAAATAATTAATAATAATTACAATACATGTACAGATATGGTATCTGTTAGAACTTAAAAATAGGATACATGCAAACTAATAAACAAAAATAAGAATAAAAATATAAATTTTATTAAAATAACTCAAGAAAAATATTAAATTGATTTTACAATAAAAATAATATGAAATTATTTTAGTAGCTTAAAAATATAAAGAACCTATAGAGTAATTAATTAATATTTGGTATCAGTAGAGCTCCTTGTCAAAGGGTTCCTGCAGAGAAATACTGCCACCTTACCTATATCTGCCGCCAAGCAATAATGTAAGCATTATTGTTTCGGTTTCGTAGGGTAAGGATGCTAGTGAAATTACAGTCAGGATTGCACTGGAAACACAAGCACTGGAAATACGACCCTAATGGCAGGGACTTGAATATGATTTCGTGTGCTTTAAACCATAATCAGGACTTGAGTATTGCAGTGAGCACTGAAAATCATACTCAAGTCCTTGCCATTAGGGTCGTATTTCCAGTGCTTGAAATCATTCTCAAGTCTGCTCAAATCCTGACTTGAGCATTGAGTAGAGTTCTGGAATACGACCCTAAGACTTGCCAACTTATGCCTCAGCGTGACGGGCGCAGTGGCAGTGTCCCCCAGATCTCTGCGATTTAAAGCTCTAAGTGGCCCTGCAACTGTTAAGAACAGGTGTGTCGCTTACCATCAAGTGCACTACAGTATTTATTTTTAAAATTTCAAGTGACTATAATGAGTAAGGAGGCAATAGGTACGTGTACTAGCACCTACTACCTTTGTGGACTAGTGGTTACCATGCTGGTCTGCCACGCAGTGGTCCCATGTTCGATTCCCGAGTCGGAAGAAATATTTGTATGGCCTACATTTATTTCTCTCGTAAGTTTGGGTGTAACGTGTGATTGTCTATGTGTATGTCCATTACACCCGCGGTACCGGGTTTCCTTAGTGCGGGGCGATAAGTGTGTGCGTTATTATTATTATTATTTTCCATTAAATTCCTTTAAATCATCACTACACAGTGTTAGCAGTTACGCTATTATTATTCTACTCACATTTACTCAAGCCCTATTATTAAAAATCTACTACGCATTCTAGCGTACTCGTCCAAAAATAATGAAAAAAATATTTCATTCATGTGAATTCCGCTCCCATGCGCACGTGTGACGGGATAACTATAGAAAGAACCACATTGAGGTCCAAAACGGGTCTAAGGAGGGCAGCACTCCTCAGAATAAAGAAATAAAGAAACTAGTGGCGCAATGTGTGACCCAATTTTATATCGACAACCATCCACACAGATCTTTACGCACGCTACAAAATATTCAAACGACTTAACACTTAATCGCCTTGAAAATAAAGACCAAAGGATACCGAATAATATACGTAAAGATTAAGGAATATTTGTTCGAAATTGTACCTTAGTGCCAGGTGATAGGTGCATTTTATGTGTACGAAGGGGAGCCCTTATGGACCACGTGTATCGAACACAAGTCGAATTATACCCGACAAGGATACGTTTTCCTCTTCAAATAATATTTTTTTTGCCATTTCATCCGTAGCCCCGTAGAGATAAGGGATATTCCAAGAAATAAGTCAAAACATGATTGGTTAACTTATGTTTGTAAAGGAACTGCGTCTCAAACAAGTCTCTCAGCAATATTATTATGAGGCTTTTGTCTGTAGTCCGCACATCTGCGTGACCTCCTGAATGCCCATTGAATGGTTTCTTAATAATGATGCATATAATTTGTTTACAATTCGCTTTGAATTACCTATTTTCGTGTGAAAATTTGCATGCTTTAATGGAAAATGATCCTCTGACGATGGCAACCTTTTTTATACTTTGTATCTTTCAAAAGTTTTGTTAGGTACCAATTCAAGATCAGTGCAGAAAAATGCACCTAGGTGCTAAAATAGGTTGTTTATAGGTTGGTAACAAACCAGACTCTCTTACGAAATTAATTTCAATTAATTTTAACGTCTCTTACCAGGTCGGCGGGGTGAAATTATAGTGCAGCCCTCTTTTCTCTTTCTTAAACATTGTACCTTTTAGGCTTAGTGTTGCTATTTAAACTAAATTATTTGTCAAGCTTTTGACGGATGATTATTACAAACAGAGGTTCCGACGCATATCAATGCCACCGGTTGCTATTGTTCAAGTAATTTGAGTGATAAAAATATTAAAAAATTGCAAGTCGTCGTACTCCTAAGTTCAGTTCATGTTTTCGCTTATTAGCTAAAGGGTTTTATTTATAATGAGTAAAATTAATAATTAAATCCAGCTAAAAATCATCTTATTTTGGATTTATTCCGGGCGCATATACTTTCTAGCGTTTTTTACCGGAAAAAAAAATAGGAAAATTTATGGCAACTCTATAATGAATCTGAAACAAAATAATGTGACTTTTGTATATATATTCGGAAACATGACTGTGACATTTATAAAGTTTCATGTCACGAGGGCTATTTTTTTAGCTACGTTTGTGTTTAAGCAGGTGTGCAATACTATGTTTTCTCGTGCTGGTTTATGCAGTAACCTCTTGTGACCAGCCAGCATTACGCTGGCTGTACTATGACATCACCAATCCTCCTCCTTTTTTGAAGTCGGTTAAAAATAATATATGGTCATCTGATACGAGACGAAGTTTTTCTTGGGAGCATTATACACTCATGAGTATTACTATGCGAAATTAATAATATATTTTTACCCACATTACGTTATGCCCTTTATAATAACGTTTACACATATAAATAGGAACTGGATAAGTATGGCAACACGAAGCTTCAATTAATTTAAAAAACGACGAAGACGAGTTGTAAAATTTTTACATAAGCCCCCATTTCCTTTTGGTCAGTCGGTGTGTTGAGCAAAAAACAAAATATTGTATAAGTATACTTATTCCTTTTGTTCGCTTACAAAAGGCTAAGGTTCCGTACACGTTTTTTAATTTAAATAAAAATACCGCGATACACGTGTTTCGTAAAAAACTGCGGTTCTTATGACCTTACATAACAGTGATTCATTGAGCAAAGATAATAACGTAATATATTTTTTGGAGAGGCTTACTTGCAGCCAGTGGTTTGTAAATACAAGTTTTTATGATGCTTAATCGTTGAGCAGAATATATTAAAATGTTTTTTGGAGATGTGCAATTTG